ACAGAATACAACAACACGTATGTAAAATTATTCACCACGATCAAGTGGGATTCATCCCAGGGATGCAAGGTTGGTTCAACATACGCAAATCAATAAATGTATACACCATATTAATAAAATCAAACACAAGGACCATATGATCATCTCTATTGATGCTGAAAAAGCATTTGATAAAATTCAACAATCATTCATGACGAAGACCCTCTATAAGTTAGGTATAGACGGAAAGTATCTCAACATGATTAAAGCCATATATGATAAACCCACTGCGAATATCATCCTGAATGGGGAAAAGCTGAAAGCTTTTCCTTTTAGAACAGGAACTAGACAAGGATGCCCACTCTCACCACTCCTATTCAACATAGTGTTGGAAGTACTAGCCAGAGCAATCAGAGAAGAGAAGGAAATAAAGGGCATCCAGATTGGAAAAGATGAAGTAAAACTGTCACTCTTTGCAGATGACATGATCCTTGATGGAGTTTGGATGTGTTGTCCCCTCCAAAACTCATGTGGAAATTTGATCCCCAATGTGGCAGTGTTGGAAACTGATTGAGTCATGGGGTGGATCCCTCATGAATGGATTAATCCTTCCCTGGAGGAGGGGGGATTAATGAGTGAGCTCTCACTCTATTAGTGCCCATGAGAGCTCATTGCTTAAAAAGACCCTGGCACCTTCTCTCTCTCTCTTGCTTCCTCTCTCTCTTGCTTCTTCTCTCTTGCTTCCTCTCACCATGTGATCTGCTTGTACCCACCAGCTGCCTGCCACTTTCCACCATGAGTAGAAGCAGCCCGAGGCCCATGCCAGATGCAGCTGTCCCAGAATCATAAGCCAAATAAACCTCTTTTCCTTATAAATTACCCAGTCTCAGGTATTTCTGATACAGCAACACAAAATGGACTAATACAATCCTATATATTGAACAGCCTAAAGCCTCTACAAAAAAACTCTTAGAGTTGATAAATGATTTCAGCAAAGTTGTAGGATACAAAATCAACACATAGAAATCAGTAGCATTTCTATTCACCAATAGTGAACAAGCAGAAAAAGAAATCAAGAAAGCTTGCCCATTTACAATAGCCACCAAAAAAAATAAAATACTTAGGAATAGAGTTAACCAAGAATGTAAAAAATTTCTATAATGACAACTACAAACCACTGCAGAGAGAAATTAAAGTGGACAAAAGAAGATGGAAAGATATCCCATGCTCTTGGATTGGAAGAATCAACATTGTGAAAATGTCCATACTACCCAAAGTGATATACAAATTCAATGCAATCCCCATCAAAATTTCAATGACATTTTTCTCACACATGGAAAAAACTATCCAGACATTTATATGGAATAACAAAAGACCACAAATAGCCAAAGCAATTCTGTGCAAAAAAAAATAAAGCTGGAGGCATAACACTACCTGACTTTAAACTATACTACAAAGCTATAATAACCAAAACAGCATGGTACAGGTGTAAAAGCAGACACACTGATCAATGGAATAGAATAGAGAATCCAGAAACCAACCCACACACCTACAGCCATCTGATTTTTGACAAAGGCACCAAGCCTACACACTGGGGAGGAGACTGCCTCTTCAGCAAATGGTGCTGGGATAACTGGATATCTATATGCAGGAGAATGAAACTAGACCCATACCTCTCACCATATACTAAAATCAACTGAAATGGATTAAAGAATTAAATATACACCCTGACACAATAAAACTTCTTAAAGAAAACATAGGAGAAACACTTCAGGAAATAGGACTGGACACAGACTTCAT